CATATTCCAGGAACACAGTCCTCAAAAGGAAAAAAAGAAAACCTTTGGGCATTCAGCAAAAATAGCAAGTCACTAAGAAAGTAAAGAAAATCAATTGTCATCACACTTTTCAGGAGCAAAACTACAGGCCAGAAGACAATGGAATGATATTTTAAGATACACCAAAAAAGAACGTGCAAACCAAGGATTATGTATTCCACTAAATTGATCTTCATGGGGTTTTTTTTTTTAAGGATTGATTGATTGATTGATTGATTGATTTGAGAGAGAGAGAGAGCAGGAGCCAGGGGAGAAGAAGGAGAGAAGCAGACTCCCTGCTGAGCATGGAGCCCAAGACAGAGATCGACCTCATGATTCTGAGATCATGACCTGAGCCGAAATCAAGAGTCAGACGCTTAACCAACTGAGCCACCCAGGCACCCCAATCTTCAAGTTCAAGAACCATATACTAATGGCTTTGAATTCCAGGAATATGGTTTAGAGAAATCGTCCCTAAGAATTTATTAAACACTGAGCTTCACACAACCAAAATGGAAGGAGATATATTGATGTAATTAGTACTCGATGATGGCTGTGAGACAGAATAGTATTTATAATATGGTCTGATTATCATATAAAACAACTATCAAAGCTTGGTGGAAGAATGGCCAGAGTATATGAAAGTATAATAATTTTGTTTATAGGCATTAAGTAGTAAAAGGACATTACATCAAATCAGATGACATGGAGATGAATAGGAGGAAAAATAAGAGGACACCAGCTAATTTCAATATTGCTCATAGTGGGAAAAAAATGGACAATAACCAAAAAAGAAAGAACTAAGTGTTTTATATATAGATTAAAGGCAGCCATGAGAACAAAAATACAAACCTTTCTAAAGAACATATTCATTCATACATTTAAAAAAAGAAAGAACGTTTTAGTGGTCCCCAAAGAATGAAGGATAAAATAGGGTAGAGGGATTATTAATTCTCTTTTGAGGATATCTTATTTGATAGATTTGACTTTGGAACCATATAAATATTTTATATAATATTAAAGCAAAATTAAAATTCTAAAAAGCGGTTTCTGGTGTTCCACTTCTGGGATGAAAACATGAGGACCTCCATGGTCCCAATCTTCAGTGAAACAAGAAAAGTTCATGAAAATTATTTTTTTAATTTTTAAATTTCTGGGAATTTCCTAAGGACATACGGCAAGTGAATCATAATTTAGTCAAGAATATTTACTAAAACTTGTAGGAAAAATAAGAATGTGCACTTGGGCTATAACCACTCCTCCCCACCCCTGCCCCAGCCCTCTGCCAGCTGAGTTTGACAGAAACTCCACTCCCAGCAGATGTGGCCAAGTCCCTTCCTCCTCAACTCCTCAATTAAGGGTTAGAGTATCTCACTAGGTGAGGCAGTCTGCCAGCATTTCTCATCCCCACCAACTATAAGATGAAGAAGCTACATTTGTGGTAAGAACAGCTGAGAGGTCAGGGCTCCCTATCTCCACCTAGTCCGTACTATGGGGCAGACGCTAACTCCTAGTCATAGCATGCCAAGAATATTGGAGCTCTGGCCACCTTTAGCCCAGCTCACTTGTAGGGGAGGGTGCTTCGGGGAAATTCATAGCTGCAAAGGCCTACATTAAAACAAGAAGAAAGATCTTAAATCCACAACCTCACCTTTTACCTTAAGTCACTAGAAAAGGAAGAGAAAAATGAGCACAAAGCAAGCAGAAGAAAGGACATAAGGACTCGTGGTGGAATTAATAACACAGAGTATAAGAAGAAAAGAGAAAATCAATAAAACCAAATGTTGGTTCTTTGAAAAGATAAAAAATATTGGCAAAACTTTACCTAGATTAAGTAAGAAAAAGGAAGTTTCAAATTATTAAAAACATAAAAAGGAAATATTACTACCAATGCATCAATAAAAAGAATTTAAAGGGATACCATGAACAGCTGTAAGCCAACAAATCAGATAACATACATGAAACGGACACATTCTAGGAGAAATGCAGACTACCAAAACTGACTCAAAAGAAATAGAAAATCTGAATAGACCCATAATAAGTAAAGAAATTGGATTAGTAATCAAAAAAACTTCAAACAGTAAAACACCTAGGACTAAATGGCTTCACTGATGAATTCTACCAAACATTAGAAGAACTAGTACCAATTCTTCACAAACACTTCCAAAAAAAGAGAAGAGGGAACAAAGAAACACTTCCCAGCTCATTTTGCATAATCATATATGAGATAAAAGACTTGTTTCCAGAACACATAAAGAACTCTTAAAACTCAATTTAAAAAAAGGGCAACCTAATTTAAAATTGGGCAAAGTTTCTGAAAAAAAAACATTTCTAAAAGAAGATACATACATGGTCAATAAGTACATAAAAAGATGCTCAACACTACTAGCCATCAGGGAAATGCAAATCAAAAACAAAATTAGACACCACTTCACACCTACTGGAATAGCTATAATGAAAAAGACAGATAACAAATGTTGGCAAGGATGTGGAGAAATTGAAACCCTCATATGTTGCTGGTGAGAATGTGAAAGATGCAGACACTTTGGAAAATAATCAGTTTCTCAAAATGTCACGTGACCTGGCCGTTCCACTCCTGATACATGCTGGAGAGAAATGAAAACATATGTCCGCACAAAAACTTGCACACAAATGTAATAGACAATAAATAATTACCCAGCATAATTAAGTGAAACATACTTCCACATATTGAACTATAATGGAAAATATAACTTGTAAGATTTGATAACTGGGAAAAGGTCACAACCCAGACTCACTGCCCGAGTACCAGAGTATCAATATCTCTATAGTGATGTGTGTGTGTGTGTGTGTGTGTGTGTGTGTGTGTGTGTGTATATATATATATTTTTTTTTTTTTTACTGTCTCAGGCTTAGGTTTGGTTCAGGTTCCATGAGGCAATATTTTTAATAGGAAAAATAGGTACAGCTTTGACAAAACAGACAGGAAACAACGTGCAGCTTTGCAGTGTGTTCAGGGCAACTCATGAGGGACCCTCTGTACTTCCCGTTCAAAGTACAATAATCAGGAAGTCAAAATCATAGCCTGTAATTAAACTTCTTAGTTGCTTCAGTAGGACATTCATGTGCGCATGCGCAGTGTCACCTTTTTGGCGTTAGAAGCAGAACTTCTAGAATATCTGACTAGCCAATATACAAAAGCAACTCTGAGGATTTTAACTGGAGGAGCATCTTCATATACAGAAATGCTGAGCAACACGGAGCGGCTGAGTTGCAAGTTGTTTGAGGCTTGGCCGGCCAAAGTCAAAGGCTCGGTCCTGAGCAGTCTCAGACACAGCCAGGGCGGCACCGCCAGGCTCCAGCCCTCCAGCTAGCCCCCCACCAGACAGCAGCAACAACAGACCTCAGAACAAGGAGGGCTCTGAAGAGCTCGTCCCTCAGGGGAGGGTCAGGATGCCCCCATCTCCCCAGAGTTTGATGACGATTTCGAGGAGTCCTCATCCCCTCTAGGTCACTATGTGGCAATCTCCCACTTTGAAGGGGCCAGCGAGGGCCCCCACCCCAGAGCCCAGGGTGAAGACCTCAGTCTCCCAGAAGAGGACAAAGATGACGCTGGTCCCTGGGCCGGTGGGACCAGGAAGTGAGGGCTAGGCGCCCACCTCCTGTCTCCTTGTCTCACTCACCTGAACGCTGCCAGAGGCGGGAAGAGGAGGGCTGTCTGCTGCTGCCTGTGGGCCATGGGGAGCCCCAGGACCTGTGTACCTTATTTCTGCCCCTGCGGCTTCAGCTGAGACCTGGTTAATGCTGCCACCCCCCACCCCTACCCCCAAACGGACCTGCTGTGCCTCCACCATCTGTGTATGTAGTCAGGTTCCATATCTTTTCTTCCTGCCGCTGGGCTAGGCTGTTTAGCTTTATATTTATATAAAATATGTAATAATATAACATGATAATACATAACAATGTATGTAATATTAGATAATTTTATATAATAAAAAACTATGTTTTCACTAATATATATATATATATATATATATATTTAAATTGTGCAGTATTCCCAGAGCCAAGAAGCTTTAGAAGAGGGCTGAATTTGGAGAGATGCAAGAGGCAGGGAGCCAAGGGAGAAAGCGTTCAGATAAAGGGACCAAGCTCACAGCTGTGAGTACCACCAGCACGCTTCAATCGGAAAAGTTCCATTGGTGTCTACTTTATGCATTAGGGTTCTAAGTAAGATTTCTTTTGAAAAAAAGCATTTCCTTGCTTTAAAAAGGGAAAGTCCAGGGGCGCCTGGGGGGGCTCAGTCAGTTAAGCGTCTGACTCTTGATCTCGGCTCAGGTCTTGCTCTCAGGGTCGTGGGTTCAGGCCCTGTGTTGGGCTTCGCGCTGGGCATGGAGTCTACTTAAAAAAAGAGAGAGAGAGAAAGTCCCAAAACCACTAACTTAAAGAATGGATATGTTTTCAGTACGGTAGAGACAATCAGAAATTTGTAGTTAGTGGTGTTAAGAAAACGAACTCTAGAACTATCGCCTACACTTCCCTGTTGATTTAGTTCCCCCCCCCCGCCAAAGTCATTCTGGTACCTATGGCTTATTAGAACGCCATCCTGCCTGTTAATAATAAGAAATGCAGTTGGGAGCACTGGGTGTTAGGAACAAACAATGAATCATGGAACACTGCACCAAAAACTAATGATGTAATATATGGTGATTAACATAACAATAAAAAAATAAAAGGACAAACAAACAAACAAAAAAAAAGAAATGCAGTTGGACAGGCTGTCTTCTCAATTGTAGTATTCCATGTAGAAATGATCTCAGCTTCTCCCGGGTCACTAACAGACCAAACACTACAGTAACTTCTGTCTCCCCATCAACCCACTGGCTTTCTCCATGGACCAAACCTCCTGACTAGCTAATTTCAATCTAAAAGTTGTGTCTCCTAATTCTGGCCTTGAATGTGTCCTGGAATACGTGTCAATCTTTCTGTGCCTCCACGGGCGGGTGTGTGGTCTTCCGTTGAGCCTTCTCTCCCTGATCCCCTCCCACAGCCCGGAACCGTGATGCCAGGACCCCACATTTCTTCACCAGGTTCCATGTCTTGTTGGTGAGACACGCCTAAATGCCTGCTGTACCCCTGCATCATCTCTTATTTTGTGCCAGCTACATTTCTCCATTCCGCAGTCTTCACAAATCCGAGAAAAATTGTACTCAGACTAAAACATTAGATAGCAGTAGAGATCTTTCTCAAAATGTCACAGGAGAAGCGGAAGAGAAAGATCAATCGCACATTGCAAGGGAAACTATTTTAAAATCTTCACTGAACAGGTCAGTCTCCAAGGTTCGGTCCTCCCCACCAGACCTCTCCTCGCTTCACCCCCAACCTCAGCTGCCCCCCCCACTTTGGACATACAGAAAATCATCCTTGCCCCATCTCTATCTTCTGCCTTCAAACATAATCTTCGCAATGTTTAGCAAGCAAAGGGCTTTCTGGAACCCAGGATCAACCCTCCCTCGTCCCCCATAAACTGTGTGATTATAAATTCTTTCTTAACTCAGCCTCTGGGATAGGATTTGGAATTGAATCCCGGTATTATATTTTGAGGGACGTCACGTGAATACTGATGCATTTAACCTCATGTAACAATAAGTTACAAACGTATTACAATTAATGGGTTTGTACTACATCAAATCCATAAATGTTTTCTTATTAAAGAAAAATTTATTACGGGTAACTGCCGAGAATTCCTAACAAATGCCAACTATAAAAGAAGTGTTAACTGTGCAGTTAACAGATGGAATTTAAGAGATAATGTATTACTAACATCCCACTGACATGCTTTTTTTCTTCAAATAACACACAGTAGTTTCCACTTTTAAATAATAATGACACATGAAAATACTTCCACTATTACAGTCAGAGGATTGAAAGAAACCCAAAAGGGTGCTGAGTGACCACATTCCTTTACTTTCAGGCAACTTAAACTGTTACCAGTTGCTTTCCAGAACCTCCCAAAGGTTAAAGTCCCATAGAGTCATTGCGTTAGCTCTGTTGTCATTCGAGTAGATTCTGGTGCCCTTTCACAGAGAAAGCCTGGCTATTCTCTGAGCTCCCAGCAACGTTGGCACCCCGTGTTCAAATTCAGAAGAGGAACTCCTCGGATTTTGAACACTCTACACTCTGTCAGGAGAATGAGTAACTGGACAAGACCACATCACCAGAGCTTTAGGTGTCAAAAGAGTACAAATAAAACCATAAGCAGTAAATACTAGTGACAACTTAATTACTTTCTCTGAGAAGGAGAACCATTTGAGACCATCAGGAAGCAAGTGAGATAATAATTCAGCAAGAACTTTCATTATGTTAGATTCATTATGTTAGATGCCAAGAGTATCTATAGCAGATGTGCCCAACCTCTGCCCATTGTCCTCTACGGCTAAAATATGCCAAAGTCCTTTACAGGACACCTGGGACTCATTTAAAAATGATTACAAATAAACAGATTCCTTTTCCAAATGGTTGGCCTTCTGACACCACTTATAGAACTTCTGTATGACCTACACATCAGAATGCTAGAATTATAAGGACCCTTGACAACTTAGGTGTCACACTGGATAATAAGTCGGGAAATTGATTTACAAAACATGAAAGCCAAAAGTGGGACTGGCTACATACTGAGGAACGTTGTGGTCAGTGTATTTGGCCAACATCAGCCTTGCAAAGCAGGGCCAGAAGTACATCCTTCTTAGTGCTTGGGAGGATGGAGCCACATGTGGTTTTGATTCACGGTCAGATCCATCCCCAGAGATGAGTCTGTATCCTGGAGTTAAAGCTTCAAAGGGAAACTCAAGTCTTCTATCAGGGAGAACTGGTTGTGGAGCTCAGGCTCGTATGTGGAGAAAGATCTATGTCTGTTCTGACATGGGTACTCAGTCAGACTTCATGGAATAGTATTTGAGTCTCAGGGGCGAGGGGCTGAAAGCAGAAAAGGCAAAAGGCAGTGTGACCCCAAGTCTCCCTGGTGCTTTGGGAGCATTCTTGTGAGACCATCCTGACAAGCAGAGAGCTAGTGTGTTGGCTGGTGGGGGGGGGGCCTCAGGGCATCCAGGCAGTGGCACAGGTGACTTCAGGGAGTACCCAGGGAACTAAGAGCACAGCAGCATCAGTAGGGAGCCCCCCCCCCACCCAGCTTCTCAGGTAGGGAGGCCTGGGTCTTGTATTCCCATAGAGGTGGCCCGTTACAGAGACAAACCTAGAAAGTACTGTTCCTGCCACCAGGGCAGGTAAAGGAAACTCGTAGGCATGTGAGTTCAACTCCTCTTGAGAAGAACCGCAACTTAGATGGAAAGGTGGGGCTTGGTACAGAGGCGGGAAAGACATCTTTATGTTTGGGCTACTGTTAGTGTTTGGGTGGGATCCTAAAGTGTTGTCAGTAGGGGCAAAAAAATAGCCATGAGGTCTCAGAAGAAGATACAGAGAAGGCAGGGAAAGTAAAGGAAGCAGGGGAGAAGGTAGGGACTTGAGCAGAGTGAGCATTCCCATCAGCGAAGGCGAGACTGAGCATCATTAGCAGAAATATGGCCAGATTGAGGACTACCTGCCTTGGCATACAACTTCTAGGCTCCTCAGGTCTAGGTTTTTAAACCAAATAGTAAAAAATCTGCTCTGTTCTCATGAGGTCTCTGCTCTCCTCCAGTGCCAGGCCTCCTCCCACCTCCCCTGCATTGGCCCATGTCCCACACGGGGGAAGATGAATGCTTTCCTCTACATTTTCTTTCATGGCCCCTCTAGGACATGAAACAGTCTGATGGGCTTGTTCCCCTATACTGATTCCCGTAGCAAATTTGTGTTACCTCAGACCCACCTGATCTTTAACAAAGGTCTCCTGGAAATACAAAAGTGTCATTCTCAGGGATAAGTTTAAATCATGGCATTTCAGTCTCTGTAGCAGATTGGTGGAGACAGGGTTTCCCTCAAAATTCATCGTGAATTACTTCATTTGCAACCTCACTTTTTTCTCCTTAGGCCACCTCAATTTGGGGCTTAAAATAAATCTGTGCAGGGGCTCCTGAGTGGCTCAGTCGGCTGGGTGTCTACCTTCGGCTCGGGTCATGATCTCAGGGTCCTGGAATTGAGTCCAGCATTGGGCTCCTTGCTCCCCGAGGAGCCTGCTTCTCCCTCTCTCTCATTGGGCTGCTCCCCCTGCTTGTGCTCTCTCTCTCTCTCTGGCAAATAAATAAATAAAATCTTTAAAATAAATAAATAAATCTTTGCAAACCAGTCTGTGTATACCCCTGACTCCTACTCCCATCTGCAGTTATAGCACCTTCCATTAGAAAGCCCTGCCTCCACTTATTTCTGGAAGGTTTTGTTGTTGTTGTTGTTTTTATGGAGGAAGGAGGATGGCTCTTATTCTATCTGCTACCACCCAGCACCTGTCATTTTATTGTGTTTCTACTCCTGCCCCCTTCTGTGAGGGCCCCAGTCTGCTGTCTGCCAAGCTGTTCAAGTCCCCACCCACCGCCAGGAATGCTGGAGTCACCTCCTGCCACTGAGGTCACACCCTGTGCACATTTTAATTGGTTCTAAACAACAACAAAAAAGTAATTAGTTCTGTGTTATTTCTTTATTTGTACTGAATCTAGTTCCAAAGGATTTAAAGTCCAAAAATATGTACAATCAAACAACATAACGAGCGGAGACTGAGTTTATAGAAACTTAAGAAGATAAAAATAAAACTATCAGGGGCGCCTGGGTGGCTCAGTCAGTTAAGTGTCCGACTCTGGGTTTTAGCTCAGGTCATGATCTCAGGGTCCTGGGATTCAGCCCCGCACTGGGCTCCCCGCTGAGCGTGGAGCCTGCTTGGGATTCTCTCCCTCCTTCCCCCTCTGCCCCCCTTCCCCCCCCAACTTGCACACATGCACTTTCTCTCTCTCTCTCAAAAAAGAAATAAGTAAAAATTTTTTTAAAAGCTGTCAATGAAATTAATGCATAAAACACATGCCATAAAATCATGTACACGTGCTTGAAGTGGCCTGAAAATTTGACCCTGAGCTTTCTAACAACCACTACAAAAAGGGAATCATAAGCAAAATCTTTTTTAATTCTCAGTATCTGAAATCCAAGACAAACACCTCCTATCAATAGATCTTTATAAAGAAGTTTCTCTTTAATACCCTGTTATCTTCATCAGTATTCTTTTTTTTAAGATTTTATTTATTTATTTGACAGAGAGAGAGAGCACAAGCAGGGGGAATGGCAGAGGAAGAGAGAGAAGCAGGCTCCCCACTGAGCAGGGAGCCTGACGCAGGGCTCGATCCCAGGACCCTGGGATCACAACCTGAGCCGAAGGCAGCCACTTAACCGACTGAGCCACCCAGGCGTCCCCTTCATCAGTATTCTTATAGCAAACACAAGAATATGCATGAGTTCATTTGTAGTATTCCTTCAAGGTGTAGCTATGTCATGTTACACACACTGGGTTCAGAAAAGTAATTTCAATGTAGGAAGACAAAAACAATGTGGTTTAGGTTTGGTGCAGAAATAAAAGTGAAAGTTTCTAGAAAATAGGCCAGTTAAAAGCCAACACAGAGACTTCTATAGTCAGCTGAGTGAAGGGTGAGGTTGATCGATTTTTGTGCAAGATGAGTCACCCAAAAAAGGTTGTATGTGGCATAGAAGGCCACCACTCCTTCACGGAGACAAGATGAAAATACAGGGGGACACAGGCAAGATTTTCTGCTCCAATACGCAGAAAAATGAGCAGTTGAGTCTCAAAGCTCCATTATTTAGAATGTGAAAATAACATCTTTGTATGGAAAACTTTATGAACATCTCAGCAAGAACAAACAAACAAACATAACCCCGATTAAAACACCTACTCACCCAACCCTCCAAGATAATTCCCTGAATTGACCCTAACATAATTGACTGGATTTACCTGTTTCGTGGGGCTGCTGTAGGTTGAGAGAGTCTAGTAAAAACTAAGAGACTTTTGTTTCCCAAGTCCTTCTTTCTGGAAGTATTTGCAAAGGACAGCCAGTTGCCAATTAAGGTCATTCTTTGTTCATTGAACTAAAACATGTGATCTGCTTCTAATAAAATGCTAATATTTATTTTCATATCCTCAGGATGGGAATTTTATTGAGCCCTTTTCAATTAGGGTATGTTCAACTGAAAAGTAAGCATCTCCTTCTATCCAAACTTTGAAAAAAATGTAGACCCCTTCCAAACCCAATTTTAAAAAGTCTGTGCTTTTTTTTGAAGGGGCACATTAATAATTCAAATGTAAAATTTTCACATTAAAATAATAATAATAATAATAAATCTCATTAGAAGTTGCTAGTCGGATACTGTGGTTTGACTCTGAGTTTAAGAAAACAAAACAACTGACTGGTTCCAGAGCAAGGAGCTATTTATTTATTCCTAACAGCTTCAGCAGACAGGAATGTTTCTTTTTCAGGGAAGAGCTTGGGGTCATGACAATCTACAATTAAACACCTTCTCCTCAATTTCATCTAATCAGTGGCCCAAAGTCAGAGATATGATGAGGACCTATGTGGGGTTTCACCTTTCATCTATGAACATGCTCAACTGTCTGGGGAGAAATTATGACAGTTTTACATTATTTGGCCTATTTTACGATCTGTCTATCTTTACCAACACAGAACAAGAGAAATGCCTATTTATTTTAAAGGTCTTAAATACAATGCCCCGGGATGATGTAAGATAGAAAAGATAGGAATTGGCCACCTATGTTTCATATCTGCAAACTCTTTCATTCTGGTATCAGTTCTGGGAACCAGATTTCTATTCATCTGACATACCTTACCATTATCTCATTATCATTTATTATAAGACTATGAAAGCCAGATATCTCAATTTATGAGACTTTGTTTCCATAATAAGTGATTTCAACATCATTTATGGGTTATGGCTTAGAAGAAGAAGATCATGTAATTGAGTTCCACTCCTACATGTCAAGGCATTGTAGATATAACCCTACTTTTGCCAATAAAGATATTAGGAGAGGGGCGCCTGGGTCGCTCAGTTGGTTAAGTGTCTGACTCTTGGTTTCTGCTCAGGTCGTGATCTCATGGGTTGTGAGATCGAGCCCTGAGTCGGACTCTGCACTCAGCAGGGAGTCTGCTTGAAGAGTCTCTCCCTCTGCCTTTCCCCAACTCACACTTGTGTACGCGTGTGTGCTCATGAGCACACGTGCGTGCGTACACACACATGCACGCACGCATGTGTTCTCTCTCTCTCTAGTAAATAAATCCTAAAATAAAAAGATATTAGGAGAGAAATTCAGGCCCTTTTCCAAACCCCCAAAGAGGGAAAATATATCCCAAAATTCAAGAACAAAGCCACCAAAATAGTCCAAAAAATACTGAAGATACAGTGACAAAATCGAAAATAGTATTGTTCCTTTAGAAGAGGTGACTCATAGAACTCTAAACATCAAACTACTAGTTTAATGTTGCTATACATGTGTTTCACAGATGAACCAATAATATTGGCTCAAAAAACAGATGAAATCTGAACATGTAATCAACACCTGAGATTTTGCCATCATTTTAGATCAAGACCTTCCAGAATTAGAACTTCCATTCATTGACTGTCGTTAAGAATCCCTTACAGCAAGAGAGAAACCAACATCAGCTCTCCCTGCCAGAGTTCAGATTGATGTTTAAAACCCAAGACTCTAATACGTTCTTCTCTGATATATCCCAAGTTGAAGAAATACATGTCAAGAGAGCAGAAGACCTTTCAACTCGAGAGAACACGGTGCTAGAATGAGAATTAAGGGAATTTGATTCTGACATGACCCCATCAAACCCCAAACCTCATTTTGCTGATAGAGATCAGAAGGAAAAACAAAAAGGTGTAATCTACCCGTGTGTGCCAGTAAAAATTGCACTGTGGGATTGACAGAGAACACTGGTATATGGGAATGCATAGGGAACGTGGTTAAAATACCAAATAGAAGTTGGCAAGATTAAATTTTTACTTCCAGCAGGTATTTAAGCCACAACAAGAAAAAAAAAAACCACACAGTAAAAGCTCACTATTAGGAAATCTTGTTCCTATCAGCAATATATCTCAACCTGAGCTATCGTATTTGTTAGTGGGAATACACAACAAAAAATACCTATAGCAAGCAAGATCCAGACAGCCGAGGTCTGCTTTTTCTATGAAGACCTTCCTCTTGGTGATTGTGCAAAAGACAGTCTTCCAAATGGGGTAACATGAAGTAAAAAAGGATCGTGAAATTTATCAATCATTTTGTAAACTAAACAATATTCCGGTTAATGGGCTCTTGGGTCTTGTTTTAAAAACATTTCAAGAATGTTCTAAAAGCTTTTCATTTTGCAATACTGGTAACTCAAGAGGAATCGCAAGTTCGCTTATATACAGGTTGCACTTGCGGTCCTGTTAAGTCCTGGAATCTATGTTGGAGTTGAGTTAAATAATTTTACAGGTGACGCCTTTTGGGATCTCTCATAGTTCACATGATTCCTAAGTCATTAGCCAAAAGAAAGAAATAGTTACCAAGGTCTGTGGTGGGAAATATGAATGTAACACCCAGCAAACTTGACTACACAGCTATTATGGGTTAGGCCCTGGAGATCCAAAGATGAGCCCCTGCCCTCAGATGCCTTAGGAGCTAGCTCGGAGACAGGCACTAACCATATTTAGTGGCAATTATAAGACAGTGTTGCATGCTTCTTGTAATCAACCCAATCCTGTCTCTTGTGAACAACGGTTAGAGAACAAATGCAGTTAAATAGGGATGTCCTAGAAATGACATACAGAAATAGACTTAACATGGTTTCCGTAAATAAAACTGAGGACATTGAGAGCAAGATGCTGAATCTGGAGTTTCCTAGAAAAAGGGTGAAAATTTTACTTTAGTCTTTTGCGCAACTCAGTTATCAACCAATATCACACGAGATCCAGAGATTATGTTAAGGGCTTAGACTGACACTTTCCAATGTAGGTCTTGTGCCATGTATACTTGAAATGTGGCTACTGACCAAATTTAGATGTAATTTAAATGTAAAATATATACCAGATTTCAAAAACAATATGAAACAAAGAATGTTTCTCGGGGTGCCTGGGTGGCTCAGTTGGTTAAGCGTCTGCCTTCGGCTCAGGTCATGATCCCAGGGTCCTGGGATCAGGTCCCTCGGGTCCCTGGTTGGGCTCCTTGCTCAGGAGGAAGCCTCCCCCTGCTTGTGTTCCCTCTCTTGCTGTCTTTCTCTCTCTCTGTGTCAAGTAAATAAATAAAATCTTAAAAAAAAATGAAGCTTACTAATTAAAAAAAAAAAGAATGTTTCTCATTAAGAATTGCTTTATGTGGATGACATGTTGAAATGATACTGTTTGGGGTATATTGGTTAAATAAAATATATCGTTTAAATTAATTTCACTTATTTCTTTTTGTTTTTTTAATACGGCCACTAAAAATGTATTAATTTAATATATGGTTCACCTTATATTTTTATTGGACAACACTAGCTTAGACTCTTGAACCAGAGAAAACTGAGTTTAAATCCACATATTATTAGCTGTGTAACCTTGAGCAAGTTACTTAGCCTCTCTAACCACTTGCCACATAACAGGTACTGTTTGAGTTAGTAGGGATACCTAAAAGAACTGTTTTTAGGATGAAGTTACCAAGTGAGTTGTTCAACATAAGTCTGCCATTTTAGGAGCTATCTTCAAAAAATCTCAACTATGCAGTGACCTTTTTTTTTTTTTCCACTTTACTGCTAATTACCGCTTTAAAGAATTCCATGATCTAAATCAACCCAGGATCTTTACAAAGGAAGTGGTATTTTACTCCCATTTGGATTATTGTTTCCAACCTTCACTATTTGATAAATTTCCACTCAACCTTCAAGACCTAGCTCAGATACTTCTCCTGTAACAACTTTCCTGACTTTGCTGTCCAATGAATTATTCTCAATACAGTTCATCTAATGTTTATTTAACAAGTTTTTATTGAGCACCTACTATGTGCCAGCCAGCTCTGCTTTGTGGTCAGCATTTAGACCAGTGAGTAAAGTAATGTTTTTGCCCCAGTGGTGCCTACCTTCTGTGGAAAAGACGGACAGTAAACAAAAACATAGCATAATGCCAGCTAAGGAGAAGGTTAAGGAAAAAATGAAGTTGGTAAGAGAATAGAAAAAGACAGAGTCAGGGAACAATGTTTTAGGTAGTGTGGCCCAGAACAGTCTTTCTGGAAAGCTGACACTTGAGCAAAAGCACCGGATGACCCACCTAATACATTCAGCACATGGACAAATACTAAGGAAGGAAACATTCTTGTGCCCTGACTCCCTCCTCTGGAGAGGTATGCAACAACAGTGTCCTCGGACACTGACTGGAAATGTCCCTGGAAAGCAACTGAGCAGTTGTCTAAAGTCTTCCTACTTTAGAAATAACAGAGAAATCTGTGAAAACATCTTGCCCTTGAAAAAAACCGCCCTCTTGACGGAACCTGAGGATATTTTCTTGGCTTTATCAAAAATCAAGGACTGACTAGGGTTGCTGGGTGGCTCAGTCGGTTAAGCATCTGCCTTCGGCTCAGGTCATGATCCCAGGGTCCTGGGATCAGGTCCCTCGGGTCCCTGGTTGGGCTCCTTGCTCAGGAGGGAGCCTGCCTCTCCCTCTCCCTCTGCCCTTGCCCCTGCTTGTGCTATCTCATGCGACTGCGCTCTCTCTCTCTCAAATAAATAAGTATAAAGTAAAATCTTTAAAAAAATAAAAAATTGGGGTGCCTGGGTGGCTCAGTCGTTAAGCGTCTGTCTTTGGCTCAGGTCATGATCCCAGAATCCTGGGATCGAGCCCCGCATTGGGCTCCCTGCTCAGCGAGAAGCCTGCTTCTCCCTCTCCCACTCCCCCTGCTTGTGTTCCCTCTCTCGCTGTGTCTCTCTCTGTCAAATAAATAAAATCTTTAAAAACAAAGAAAAATCAAGGACTGACTAAAGCCTTTGGAGACTCTTGACCCAGCCACATACCCACATTAATATGTATTGCTAAGGGTCAGAACTGATAAATTATAATTTAGCTAGGTACACTGTTGCCTGAAAACTAAAAGAATGAGCAAACTTTAGTTTTATCAGGCTATGTTTAATGTGATTTATCCATAGCATTTTTTTAACAAAAATATATTTTTTAATTTTTATTAAGGTAACAAATGTCTAAATTTAAATAAGATAGAAAAGTTTCTAACAAAAAGCAACAATCTCTCTTCTAGGTCTTTATAGTCCTAATGCTGTTTACCTGTAACACTATATTAGCTCTGTTAACTTCTCTGTTTTTAGTTTTTCTAGTGGCTGTGTGTTTCTCTAAATAACAGGCGTATGTAGGTCACAATTGTTTGACCCATCAAGTCTAGACATCTATGGACTTCCTTCAGGACTGCTTCCCACCTTTTTTCTTCCCTCCTGCCAGGTAAAATTACTGTTGTAAGTCCCTCTGTTGGTTGTCTTTCTAACTTAAAAGTATAAATATGTTGGGCGCCTGGGTGGCTCAGTTGGTTAAGCGACTGCCTTCGGCTCAGGTCATGATCCTGGAGTCCCGGGATCGAGTCCCGCATCGGGCTCCCTGCTCGGCGGGGAGTCTGCTCCTCCCTCTGACCCTCTTCCCTCTCGTGCTATCTCTCATTCTCTCTCTCTCAAATAAATAAATAAAATCTTTAAAAAAAAAAGTATAAATATGTAAACATTTCTTGAGCTCTCATTTGGTAAAAAAAGATTATTAATGGCCTTATTCTGTCTTCTTTGCTTCCCACCCTACCTTGCAACTTCGGCTGCCCAGGACCTTAACTTTTCTTTGTTGATTTGGATAGCACTTACTTTTTGAAAATACATAAGTAAGTCTTCGTTCCTTTGGGTATTGGTTAATGACTATGTAGTATTATTAGCTACGCAGCCAAGTAGTATATTATTGTTGCATTTAAAATTTTTATTTTCCTTGAGTTTTTGGCTTTCTGTTCCTCCTTTCCCTCCTCCTGTTTCTCCTTGTTTTTCTGCTTCTGTTTCTCCTTTACATTAGTTTCCTTTATCAAATCCTTACTTTTCCAATATGTTAAGGATCCAGCAAATCTTTTTTAAGATCCCATTTTTCCAGATATCTTCCTCCTTGACCCTCAGTCTAAATTTAATGCTCTCCAGATCTGCTCCTTATTGTAACCTAGAACTTCATTTTGTTATTTCTTCCTTTTTATTAAATTTTTTATTTAAATTCGATTTAATTAACATACACTGTATTATTAGTTTCAGAAGTAGTATTCAGTGATTCATCGGTCTTATATAATACCCAGTGCTCATTACATCACATGCCCTTCTTAATGCCCTTCACCCAGTTACCCCATCCCTGCACCCACCTCCCTTCCAGCAAACCTCAGTTTGTTTCCTATAGTTAAGAGTCTCTTATGGTTTGGGGGCGCCTGGGTGGCTCAGTCGTTAGGCGTCTGCCTTTGGCTCAGATCATGATCCCGGGATCCTGGGATCGAGCCCCGCATCAGGCTCCCCTGCTCTGTGGGGAGCCTGCTTCTCCTTCTCCCTCACTTGTGCTCTCTAGCTCTCTCTCTGTATCTCTCCAATAAATAAATAAAATCTTTACCAAAAAAAAAAAGAGTCTCTTATGGTTTGTTTCCCTCTCTGTTTTCCTCTTATTTTATTTATTAGTTTTCCCTTTCTATGCTTTTCTTTTTCCTGATTTATACCCTGTTTGGCTAGACCATACCCTCTAAGTAACTTCCTAAAAACTGTGTGTAACAGACAGACTTTCTAAATCCTTACATATCTGAAAATGCATTCTATCCACATTCTTGGCTGATAGTTTTCCTGAGTATAAAATGTGAGACTGAAATAATTTACCTCATAATTTTGAAAGCATATTCCATTATTTGATGGCCATCTTGAGCTGCCAAGGGGAGGTTAAAATGACTGCCTGATTTTTGTTCTTCTGTAACTAATCTTGTTTGTTTTTTCTGTCTCCCTCTTTGTAAATTTTTTAATGTTTTCTTTTATATATTTTCTGAAATTTTATAGGGCCAGGTTGAGATGAATCTGTTACCTATTCAGTGTTCTGAGCAACTAGTATCATTCAGCTCTGGGAATTTATTTTTTTTATGTCTTGATTTAGTTATTGTCATTCTTTTTTTTTTTCCTGTTCTGTCTTCTGAAATTCCTGTTTGTCAAAATCTCAGATATTTTGGGTTGATCTTCTAGGTCTTTTTCCTTTTCATTCATATTTTTCATCTCATAGCCTTGATGTTGTACTTCTTAAAAGAAAGAGTGAATGGATAGAGAGCTGCTTTTCGTCTGGAGGACCACCAATGCCAGAATTGCTTTGGGAAAGAAATGCTCATTCTCACTGCTCTGGCTTTGAATTTGTTCAATTTATTTATAGTAACACGTTTTGGTTTGGAGCTAAATTACTGACCATCAGGTGTTTTGAATATAGGTTTGAGTGGAAGTGGACTCTTTCTAAACAGATTTTCAATAAACCCTCTTGGTTTCAGCCCAGTGAATCATTCTTGCCCTCCATCAAAATTGGTATAATTGAATCTCAAACTCCCCCAGAGTCTTACATACGCTCGGATGTAGTTTACTCTTCCCTGCAATCCCTCAGCCACTTTCTGTCCTTCAGAAATTTGTTAAAATCTCTCCTTTCTTTGTTGTTGATCGACTCTGCTCTTTTCGATTTTGTGATTAATACCTTTAAGACATTTACTATAATTTTAATGGGGTTTTTAAAAAGAGAAAAAATAAATGAATATGGTCAGTGACTCATCTTGCACCAGAATTCTGTGACTCATTTTAGAATAAGACACATCTTATTTGTCTTGCACATTATGCAATAGATTTCTTTTTTTTATTTATGACATCTCAAAAAGCATCATTTTGGAACATGCTAAATCTCTTTGAAAAAATGAAAAATAATAAAGAGAAACTTCCTGAATGAATTTTTAGAAGAGTAAAGGTCAGCAGGGACTGATGGGTGAATAACAGCACCAGGAAGGCCAAAAGAATGGAAGTATAAAATTCCTGCTCCAGAGTCTGATTGATTTTATTTCCGTTTTAATTAATTTGTTTGTCGAATGAATAAACATTTATTGATTACTTAGTGTTTCAGTGTTTTTTAAGCATTGCTATAAATTAACACACACACACACACACACACACACACACACACACACACACTTGCCCTTCATGGAATCAGAGTCTAATAAAAGGATATGATGCCCATTATTTTTTTAATATTTTATTTATTTATTTGACAGAGAGAGGACAAACAGGGGAAGCAACAGGCAGAGGGGGAGGGAGAGGCAGACTCCCCACTAAGCAGGGATCCCAATGCAGGGCTCAATCCCAGGACCCCAGGATCATGACCTGAGCTGAAGGCAGACAGAGGCTTAACTGACTGGGCCACGCAGGCGCCTCCATGATGCCCATTCTTATACCATATGATGACTTAGAGCTATAGTAAAGGTTAGGGAATGACCCCTGCTTGAGCCATAAAATCCTAAATAATTTATTAACTATCAAGTGGCTATTATATTTGCCCACAACTGTTTAAGATATTAGCCATGATTTCCACCAGAAGGATTTACCATCCAGCAGTGAAAGAGATTCATGCATCCAGAGCTTTGGCTTTGGAATCACACAAACCTGAATTTTCATCCAAAATTTTCCACTACTCACTAACTTTGTAAACTTACAGAAGTTGTTTTGCCTCTCTGAGACTCGATTTTCTCTTTTGTAATATGAGTAATAAAACTACAGTAAAAGTTCCCTTAACCAACTCTCCAGATTCATGAAGACTCTTCTTTCACCTTAAGACATATTGACTGTTGCTCAATCATGCTGAAAGCACACAGTTCACAGCCTACACAAGATGATGCCCCTCCAACCAAGTTACACCTACCAAGATACAGTTGTGTTTGTTTTTAAATATATTTATGTTGACTGTAGTTATTTTACGTACAAAAAAATTAAAAATTTTATTACCAGTGAAATATGAAGGCAAAAAGTAAAAGACAGGTAACTTTTCAAAAATACTACCAAATTAGTTGGTTAAAATATGTGTGTGTGTGTGTGTGTGTGTGTGTGTGATAAAGTTGGAAAAAATGGTGTGGAGAAGTTGTAAAAATCTAGAAGGATTCTATACTCAAAATGTGTTGCAGGTGCAGTTACATCCTGGACATTTCAGCTGTCATAAATAAGGCAATAGGTGTAGTTTATGCAAAAAAACTAAGGGAGTTTTAATCAATGGACTCATGATCAAAGATAAACCCTTGACCTTATGGATGACATGTGAATAAAGTGTTACATGTTTAGGATTAAAATAAAATTTTGTGGAGTGATGGGTTGGGTTAATTAGAATATGTATAGCATTTATTATAGTACCTGGCACATAGACAATCCATTAAGTGGTGGCATTATTGTTAGTAGCTAAGGACAGGTATTATTTTATTTGATAAAATATTTATTAAGAGTCCACTCTGTGCCAGGCCCTGAGCATACAATGGTGAGAAAAAAAAACAACAACAAAACAACCCTGGACACTGCCTTTATGAATCTTAGAGGGAGAGCATGTATTTGATGAAATCATCACACAAAGCCATAATCTCAATGTAAGAGAAGGGCTATAAAGGAAGAATACAGTAGGGGGACCTGATCTGTGTTGAGGGTCACCAGGAAGTATCCTTTGAACTGAGCTCTGCAGCAAGAGTTCAGCGAGGTCAAATCTAGCAGTCCTTTGCAGGCCATGAGAAGAATTTGGGGCATTAGCATAATGCAGTGCAAATTCAGAGGTGACAATCTACTTTAAGATCAAATTTCAAAGGGAATCTCCATTCCCTTTGAAATCCTATATTAGTTAGCTGCTGTAAGAAATCAACACCAAAATTTCAGTGGTCTGACACAAAGTGAAATTGATCTCTTGCTCAGTAATAGCCTTCGGCAGATATTCCTGGCTGGTGGGAGGCTTTCCTCCACACAGTGATTCAGGGACTCAAGCTCCTTCCAACTTATGACTCTACCATCCCACCAGAACTCATCAACCTCTGCACCTCTGCATTCAGCCGATATAAGGGAGAGAAGAGCAAGGAGTAGGTACACCCACTTACTGAAATCTGACTTACATCACTTCCACTGACATTCCATTGATGAGAGCTAGCCAATGAACACAGCGGGTAAACAGAAGAATGTAGATCAGTTGCTTCCCAGGGACAGCTGCTTTCTATGGTAGGGGAGGACCATCTGTAGTATCCAACTCTGCCACAAACCACTTAACATAAATTAACATTTTTGCCAAGTAAGTTTTTCCTTTTATCTTGGAAAATTTCCCTTACCCCGGGCTCAGTCGGTTAAGCATCTGCCTTCGGCTCAGGTCATGATCCCAGAGTCCCAGGGTCGAGTCCCACATCGGGCTCCCTGCTCAGCAGGGAGTCTGCTTCTCCCTCTGCCCCTCACCCCACTCTCATGCTCTCTCTCTCTCTCACTCTCTCTCTCAAATAAACAAATGAAATCTAAAAAAAAAGAAAAGAAAAGAAAATCTCCCTTACCCCAATCTCAGTACATTCTCTGAATTTGAGTTAGTGTTCAGTAACTCATGTGGCTCTTTTTTAAAAGGCGTAGCAAATATTAGATTTTTCTTTTAAATGCAATGTACCATAATACACGTTCATGTATTCGGTGGGCCTACTAGTCTGAAAACATAGTAGCTACCATTTTTGCTAGACCATATTTGGATGGTCTGAATTCTTCTAATTTTTGATGCTCTACCATTAATGAAAATGTTTACTGTGTCCAACTAACATTACTCCTGGTCATTACCAAATGAGGGATGGTGTCCTGAGTACTTCTTCCTTCAGCTACACCAAGCATACTTTAAAAACTTCCACCAATACTCAGCAACCCCCACATATATACACAACTACAATCTCCTCCCCCCAAAAAACAGTAAATTTTAAACCTGTTGTTATGTCTCTTTTCCTCTACCAATTTGTCACCCAATTTTGAATGGGTAAGAGAAGAAAAACAAAAAGCTGTCTGTAAAGTCTTCTTTAGATTCTCTAAACTCAAGCCCTCAAATGAAGAGGTTCAGAACTCCAGCTTCTCTCTCAAGTCCAATTCTTCCTTCAAATAGGTTTTGCTGGGTTTAGATCTTATCATTCATGTTCATAGACATAATGAAATCTAGCATATACCATATTTTCCTTTTGTAGAATAAGATATGACTCTTGGATATAACATCAAAAGTACAGACCACAAAAGAAAAAAAAACCAATAAGTTGGACTTAGTCAAATTAAAAACTTTAATTCATCAAAGACACTACCAACAGAGTGAAAAGGCAGCATGTGATGGGGGAAAATATTTGCAAATCATATGTCTGATAAAGGGTTAATATCCAGAATATATGAAGAACTGCTACAACTCAACAACAAAACAAACCAATTAAAAAATGGGCAAAGGACTTGAATAGACATTTCTCCAAGAAGATACATAAATGGTTCATAAGTGCATGAAAAGGTGCTCAACCTTGCTAATCATGAGGGAAATGCAAATCAAAACCACAAGATATCACTTCACATCCATCAAGATGGCGATTATCAAAACAAAACAAAACAGAAAACAAGTGTTGATAATATGGAGAAACTGGAACCCCCATGCACTACTGGTAGGAATGTAAAATGGTGCAACTATATTGAAAACAGTATGTGGTTGGTTCCTCAAAAAAGTACAAATAGAGTTTCCTTCTGCAACAGGCGTGGGTCACGCTCTCGCTCGCTCTCTTTCTGCCGCCATCTTGGTTCCACATTCCCCTCACAAAACGCCTGGTGAAGTCACAGAAACCGTCCCTGCTACAGAGCAGGAGTTGCCACAGCCCCAGGCTGAGACAGGGTCTGGAACAGAATCCGACAGTGATGAATCAGTACCAGAGCCTGAGGAACAGGATTCCACACAGGCAGCCACACAACAGGCCCAGCTGGCAGCAGCCGCTGAAATCGATGAAGAACCAGTCAGTAAAGCAAAACAGCCAGAGTGAAAAGAAGGCACAGAAGGCTATGTCCAAACTGGGTCTTCGACAGGTTACAGGGGTTACAAGAGGCACTATCCGGAAATCTAAGAATATCCTCTTTGTCATCACAAAACCAGATGTCTACAAGAGCCCAGCTTCAGATACCTACATAGTTTTGGGGGAAGCCAAGATCGAGGATTTATCTCAACAAGCACAACTAGCAGCTGCTGAGAAATTCAAAGTTCAAGGTGAAGCTGTCTCAAACATTCAAGAAAACACAGACTCCAACTGTACAAGAGGAGAGTGAAGAGGAAGAGGTTGATGAAACCGGCGTAGAGGTTAAGGACATAGAATCGGTCATGTCACAAGCAAATGTGTCAAGAGCAAAGGCAGTCCGAGCCCTGAAGAACAACAGTAATGATATTGTAAATGCTATAATGGAATTAACAATGTAACCATCTGAAAACGAGGACTTTTTTTGGTGTTTCAAAAGAATAACTGCAGCTTGGTTTGAAATTTGTACTGTTTCTATCATTAATAAAGTTATGGCTTCTTGTTGGATGAAAAAAAAAGTACAAATAGAATTATCATGTGATCTAGCAATTCCACTTCTGAGTATAAACACAAAAGAATTGAAAGCAGGGGGCTCAAACAGGGATTTGTATATGCGTGTTCATAGCAGCATTATTCACAAAAGACGGAAGCCACCCAAGTGTCTACCAACAGATGAATAGATAAAAATATGGCATATACATGCAATTGAATATTTTTCGAAGCTTTATTTATTTTAGAGACAGAGAGAGCAAGTGCGGGGAAGGACAGGGGGAGGGAATCTCAAGCAGATTCTCTGCTGAGCGTGGAGCTGGACCTGGGGCTTGATCTCAGGACCCCGAGATCATGACCTGAGCCAAAGCCAAGAATCAGACGCTCAACCAACTGAGCCACCGAGGTGCCCCCATACAAGGGAAGATTTAATCAGTCTTTCAAAGGGATGAAATACTGATACCTACAACAACATGAATGAATCTCGAAGACATTATGCTGTGAAATCACCCAGTCACAAAAGGACAAAGACCATATGGTTCCACCTATATGAAGTACCTAGAGTGGTCAAGTTCGTAAATACAGAAAGTAGAATGGTAGTTACCAGGGGCTGATGGGAGGGGAACGTGGGGACTTAACACTGAGTTACTGTATGAGTACAGAATTTCAGTTTGGGAAGATAAAAAAGTTCTGGAAACAGATGGTGGTGATAGTTGTACAGCAACACGAATGTGGTTATTGCACAGAACTTTTACTTAAAAGTGGTTAAAATGGAGGGCGCCTGGGGGGGCACGGTCGTTGAAGCATCTAACTCTTGGTTTCGGCTCAGGTCATGATCTCAGCATCATGGGATCAAGCCCCCTGTTGGGGTCCACACTCGGGGGGTCTGCTTGAGATTCTTTCCCTCTCCCCCTCTGCTCCTCCCCCATTTACATGCTCTCTTTCTCTCAAATAAATAAATAGAATCTTTTTTTTTTTAAGTGGTTAAAATGGGAGGGAGGGAAGGAAGGAAGAGGGGGGAAGAGGAGTGAAAGAAAAGATCTGATACTTGAGACAAAGTCTGGTGGAAGCCATGGCCCCAAACAGAACTTGACATCCTAAGATGATGATGTCCCCTTTGCTACAAAGGGCCAAAGCTTTCAGTGGGAAGCCCTTGGATCCCCTTATTAACCAGTAACAGGGACTTGTCTTGTTGTTAAAGCTTTACTGCTGAGCACAGGGCATCTGGAGCCTCTCATAACCACCCACCCACGTGCTGAAGCTTGGGTCGGTTTGTAAAAACAGTTCAGTAGAGTTCATGCCAGTGTCCTTCATATGTTTTTATCTTTCTTTTTTTTAATTTTATTTATTCATTTATCAGAGAGAGAGCACACACAAGGGGAGCTGCAGGCAGGAGAAGCAGACTCCCCGCTGAGCAAGGAGCCCGGCACGGGACTTGATCCCAGGACCCTGGGATCAATGACCTGAGCCGAAGGCAGACGCTTAACCAACTAAGCCACCCAGTCATGCTGGGCTTTTTATCTTTCTGACCAAAAAAGATAAAGAGTATATAATATTTAAGTTAAACTAAATATATATATATATATATATAGTAAATATAATATATATATAAAGGTAAAGGGTATACAATATTTAATTTAAGTTAATATTCAAGTCTGGTCTATATTCTTATTCTCAGCATGGTTATTAAATCCGAGAAGAAGAAGGAAGAGGAGAAGGAGAAGAAAAGACAGAGCCATGGATATCCCAATGTTAAAGGCTGAGTCACAGTTCACAGCATACCAGGTAGAAAGAAGTCCATAGCGTTAACTGTCATTGTGTGGTTTGCAGACCTAAGAAGTTTCCATTGTTACCCATTTCTTATTGATGTTAAGTCCAGCCTGCTTTGTACTCTTCCACAGTGGAATAATACTTATGCCTTCCATGTATGTCCTTTCTGCTAGTTGCAGTTGTTTTTCTACTATTATTTTATTTGCATAATTAACACACTGATTTGTTTTGTCTTGACAGCCTGGGGCAGTGGTACTAAGGGTACACATTTTTAAGTCAAACAAATACACGGACCTTTTGAAAATGAATCATGCTAGATTCCTTTCTTTTCAGATTCCCTTGAAATCAGATAATAGAGATTCTGGGAATCATCCACTCGAGGCCAAAAAAAAAGGTTTTATAGCCAATGATGATCTACATAAACTTTAATGCCCTTTAAGATCATCTGCCTCGTACTATGTGCTGGTTAATTGAATTTAAATTAAAAAAAGAAAGAAAGAAAGAAAGAAAGAAAGAAAAAGATCATCTGCTTCACGGTCAGCTAATTTTTCTCAGAATGCCTCTGAGATGAATGTGTGTATGCTCATATTTCCGCCAGTAATAAAGGCTAACAAGATGTGACTCTGAAAAATACATTGACCAGGGTTCTCTACCATTAGATTACAGGAGAGGGTGTTGGATTGTTCATAAAATGCTTTCGATCTTTGCTGAGACTATGTTGCTAAACCAGCCAGACTTCGGGATTCAGAAAATCTACTCTGTGAAGCCAATCTGAAATCCACAGTGGTCCTGATGAAGGACGATTGGACCTTCATCAATGAAGGACCCATTAAATTGGGTACGTAGAAGCCAATTTTTTTTTAAATAAAGAACATTTGGGGTGCCTGGGTGGCTCAGTCATTGGACGTCTGCCTTCGGCTCAGGTCATGATCCCAGGGTCCTGGGATCCAGCCCTGCATTGGGCTCCCTGCTCCGCGGGGAGCCTGCTTCTCCCTCTTCCACTCCCCCTGCTTGTGTTCCCTCTCTCGCTATCTCTCTCTCTGTCAAATAAATAAATAAAATCTTTAAAAAAAAGAAAGAAAGAAAGAAGAGAGAGAAAGAAAGAAAGAAAGAAAGAAAGAAAGAAAGAAAGAAAGAAAGAAAGAAGAAAGAAAGAAAGAAAGAAAGAAAGAAAAAAGAAAGAAAGAAAGAAAGAAAAAGAAAGAAAACATTTGTTCAGAGTGATGCTGCCAACAGGGTTTTACTGGTGCAGGTCTCCCTTTTAAACTCTGCCAAGTAAACGGGCCAAATCCCTACAGTCCATTCCAGAACCTCACCAGGAACACCATCATGAATTAATAGTAAGTCTGAATTGCGTGATCATTTGTAAATAGCACTTCCTTAATTACTATCGAGAATTTGAAAAAACAAAACAAAAACAAAAACAAAACAACACACCACTAATGGTGAACCAGGTATGGCCTAGGAAAAACACTGACCTCTTTGTCACGCACAAGTTGACATGCAGCATATTCAAAGGGACATACTTCAGGAACGAGGTAGCCTGAGTCCTCATCTCTGTTCTTTCTGTGCAGATTTGTACAGGTCACTTGAGCTTTTTACTCTACTCTTTTCTCATTTTTTAAAAAAATTTTATTTATTTGAGAGAGAGAGAACATGCACAAGTGGCAGGGGAGGGGGAGGGCAGAGGGAGAGGGAGAAACAGACGCCCCGCTAAGCAGGGAGCCCGATGTGGGGGCTCAATGTGGGCTTCGATCCCAGGACCCTGAGATCATGACCTGAGCCAAACAGCCTAGGTGCCCCCCACTCTTTTCTCATTTTTGAAATGAAGGGCATATGCTAATAATCTCTATATCCTTTCTGGCTCCCAAATTCTAATTTTACATCTATAAATCATTTAAAGTAACACATTGTCTCCACATAAACTAATCTTGCTAAACTCCAACATAACTTTAGTTGACTTGTTTAAGTAGGTTAAACATCCCCACATTAGGAGCTCTGAATCGTGGCCTCCCTATTAATTTTCTCATAAATAGCACAGAAGTTAAGTTGCAACCCAGTTTTGCCTGCAATGTCATAAAATCTAAATTAGTTGAATTTAAATTGGTGAACTGTGAGTATGTGTTAGATTAAAACCCAGTATCAATGAATTGTGCATGTTCTTTCCTGGGTCATTTCCTCTTTCTCAGCACGATCTGCCCGGGAAATTGTAAATTGCCCACAGCTTCCATAGACATGCCCAACTCCTGGAAGTCTGACTCCAGACAGTTTCTCTCCTGAGCTCCAAACTCATATTTTAAAAATAATCTTCACCACTCATTGAGCATCTCTTACAAGTCTGGTGCTGAACTGTCATTTTAACAACATGGTTTCTGCCTTGACAGTTCCTCTGCAGGGCGGACCTCGTTATCTCTATTCTAGATGAGGAAATTGAGTCTCAGAGAGGCCTTGTAGCTGATCAGAGTCACGCAGTTGGTCGTTTTCAAAGCCCTGATTTGAATCCAGGCCTTGCCGCCTCAGAAATCCGTGCCTCTGACTATTTTACTAGAATGAACAAAACAGATTAGAAATGCAAGATACTACATCATGATAACCATTCTGGATCAAAGTTTTCCTCTTGGCATAAAGAGGGGCAGGTTGGCAGGAAAGGCATTCGGGCAGGGTGGACAAACTTTGAAATCCGAGATCAAGAGCAGAGGAAGGGGGAGCTATAAAAACAGGTCTGGGCCAGACTGGGAAGAGATTCCTCGGTCCAGAACAAGGAATGTAGGCTTCTATAGAACAACGTGGGTCATCACAGGGATTCAGGAGGGAGCTGGGAGTGATGTCTCGCGTCAGTTTCATATTTTAGCATAAGCATTCTGGAAATGACTTTAAGAATACTGTAGAAAGAAATAGAGGTGAGAAGCAGAAAGATCATTGAGGAAGCTCTTCTCCTAGCCCACAGAGAGGCGATTCGGCCTGAATAGGACAATGACAGAAGGAAGGCATAAAAAAGGACGCAGAACTTGGCACACAATTAAATTGGGTAAATGGATAAGGATGACGTGACGAGGACCCCAAAGCAACTCTGATTTGTCTTTATCTTGCTACCCAGCGAAGTATGCGCCAACAGCGCCCCTATTGCAAAGCCTGCCATCTCCTCAGAGAAAGTCACTGCCCTGGATTGTACCAGACCCAAAACATGCAAAACTAGAATGTCTGGATCCTATTGAATTATTTCTGGGTCTTTTCTCTATTTTTAAGAAGACAG